GGGCAATTAGCACAGTCCTTACTCAAAATGGCGATCTCTCAGCATACCAAAAAGCGCAAGATTCTCATCCCAGAGAAAGTCTCACCAGATGGCTTAGCTTTGTTAAAAGATCAGTTCGATGTAGATGAAAAGAAGGGACTCAGCCCCGATGAGCTCAAGGGTATCATCGGCGAATATGACGCTTTGATTGTTCGCTCCGAGACCAAAGTGACAGCTGATCTGCTGGCGGCGGCGAAGAACATGAAAGTGGTAGCACGTGCTGGTGTTGGTGTGGATAATGTGGATGTCCAAAGTGCAACTCAGCATGGCATCATTGTTGTTAACTCGCCTTCGGGAAACATCAATGCGGCAGCAGAGCATACAATTGCGCGTAAGCAGAGTGTTGAATGCGAATGGAGTATCTGCTAATCCAGACAAGTGTTGATGGCCGTTTCTCGGAACGTGGGTGATGCTTCACAAAGTATCAAGGCTGGCAAATGGGAGCGAAGTCGGCTTGTGGGAGTAGAAGCCAAGGGCAAGACTCTTGCTATAGTGGGCCTGGGAAAAGGTAATGAACAAGAGCAAAGAGCGTGAATACTGCTTACGCGGTCATAGTTGGTCTCACGGTCGCTCGAATTGCCAACGGCCTGGGCATGCGACTGATAGCATACGATCCTTATGCCAATCCAAATTTGGCAGCTGCTGCTTCAGTAACTTTGAAACCGAGTCTCGCAGAGATCCTGAAAGAAGCAGATTTCCTGACGCTCCATACGCCTCTGATTGCCTCGACCAAAGGTATGATTGGAAAGGCAGAGCTGGAGACAATGAAGCCCACGGCACGGATCCTAAACGTTGCACGAGGCGGAATGATCGACGAAGATGCCCTCGTGGAAGCTCTGGATGCTGGCAAAATTGCAGGAGCTGGCATCGATGTATTCACGTCCGAGCCTCCTGAGCCAAATTCGTCCGCGACTCGATTGATAGCGCATCCAAAGGTAGTTGCAACACCACATCTCGGAGCGTCAACCAAAGAAGCACAAGAGAACGTTTCCATCGATGTGTGCGAGCAGGTAGTGTCCATTCTCTCAGGGGAGCTTCCTCGCTCCGCAGTCAACGCCCCCATAGTACTACCCGATGAATACCGTACTCTGCAACCCTTCATCAGTCTGGTTGAGAAGATGGGCAGTTTGTACACACAGCACTACTCCAGCGTCAAAAAGGATTCCTTCCGTACAACCTTCGACCTGATCTACGAAGGCAATCTAGCCACTATCAACACAACTAAGCCTCTATTCGCCGCACTCGTCAAAGGCTTACTGACACCCATTACCTCAAGCGACGGTCTCAACATCAACATTGTCAACGCTGAGATCCTCGCAAAAGAACGCGGCATCCTCATCAATGAGCAACGCTCCCGCGAAAACGATGACGAAAAACCCTACTCGTCATTTATCACTCTCCGCGCCCGCGCCTCTCGCTCAGTATCGCAGCAATCTCGCTCTGGCACACGCCCCGCACAAGACAGCACCGACGATGACCAAATCATCCAAGGCTCCGTATCAGGAAACCGCCCTTTTATCTCACGCCTCGACAAGTTCAAAGGCGAATTCGTACCCCGCGGCACGCTGATTATCTGCCGGAACTTCGATTCTGTAGGCAAGATTGGGTATGTGGGGAATCAGTTGGGGAAGGCGGGGGTCAACATCAAGTTTATGAATGTGGCGCCGTTGGATGAGGAGGTGGAGGAGAGACAGAATGGAGGCGAGGAGAAGAGGAGTAACGAGGCTTTGATGATTTTGGGAGTAGATAAACCGGTGGGGGATGATGTGCTGAAGATGCTGATTGGGGAGGAGGGCGTGCTAGAGGCGAGTGTGGTGAATTTTTGAAAAAGGGAGGATTGGGAGGGTGGTAAGGGAGTTTTTCTGGTTTAATCTGAATGCGAAGCTCCACCTTTGCAATATTGAAGGTCTCTTGAAGTCATGATATTGTACCAATGTGATGTGACAAGGTTTTATCTATATGCGCTCCCAGCCTAGCCTTGCAACGAGAGTCAAGCAAGGTATACAAGGCATCGCTTGAACATTGTTATACAGAGACTCTTCTTACCGCTATGGTTGCGTGTGCGTTCGCGCCGCCGATACACTAGGTACGGAGCTGCCTCGGCATAACGTCATGCCGTCCAGGGCTGATACAGAATTTCCTGAGCGATGGCGCATTCCTACGTCTTTCTCAACACATTGATTCACAAGTAGCGAAAGCCACAACTTACCCGGTATCTTGAGCTTTTAAAATGGCGAAAGCAGTACTCGCTGGCAGCACTGGCCTTGTCGTATGTCCTACGCCGCCCTAAGCCCTCTCGTATGTGCCACACTTTGAACACACATCTAACACATATCCTCAGGGTTCAAACATTCTCTCCACCCTCCTAGCACACCCCTCTTTCTCCTCTGTCCACGCCTTCTCCCGCCGTGAACTGCCCAACCCCAACGGGTCGACCAAGCTCCAGTCCATCATCTCCACCGAATCGTCGCAATGGCCAGCCCAGTTCCCCTCAGCCGAGCCACCCAAAGTCTTCTTTAGCGCTCTAGGGACCACGCGCGCGCAAGCCGGCGGTGTCGAAGCCCAGCGGAAAATCGACTATGATCTTGCCCTTGACCTAGCCAAAGCAGCCAAGGAAGCAGGCACAGACGTATGCGTCCTCATTTCATCTAACGGCGCCAATGCCAACTCCTACTTTGCGTATCCGAAGATGAAGGGCGAGTTGGAGGAGGCGGTCAAGAATCTGGGCTTCAAGCATACTGTGATCCTGCGACCGGGTCTGATTGTTGGGGATAGGAACGAGAGCCGCCCGGCGGAGGCGTTGTTTAGGGGTTTAGCCAATGGTTTGAAGGGATTGGCTGGGAGCGGGAAGTTGACGGATTGGTGGGCGCAAGATGCAAGCGTTATTGCGAGAGCGGCGGTGCAGGCGGGAGTCCGCTGTATCGAGGGGAAGAGGGACGACGGGGTGTGGATGTTGGGGATGGGAGAGATTGTCGAGCTGGGGAAGCAGTAAGCAGGAGGTTTGCGGGGTGCAGGTAAGGGAATAAGGTGGTCAGTCAGCATGTGTGATAATATTATACCCGGCATTTATTCTTTTCTACTATATTCATCTATTCGAGGCCCTCGATTGGCGATCTGTCCCTTCATAGTGGTGACGTTAATGGTAAAATGCTCACCAATGACACCGAGCACAGCAGAAACACTATGCACCATACCTTCAAACAACACCAACTGCTGCCCATAAATCGCAATTAACTTATCTCTGAGTTACATCATCCTGTCCCAGAGACACCTGCAGCCCTGCATGTCAGCATATCACCCCATTGTCGTGCGACGACCGGCACGCAGGCGCATCGGCTAGGTAAGCCCATGCCGCACCCGCATTTCGGCGGCCGCCGCCTCTCGCAAAAACAAAATATCACCCCATTCTCTCGCGACCACCAACACGCACTGCCCCCTGCACCGCACGGCGGTACTCTAGAAAGCCGCCCAACCTGGTAATTCCTGCCGGCAACGCGCGACTGTCTTCGATGCAAAATCCCACTTGTTGCCTATTTGGGTATTTTCTCGTGCACGCTTCGGCATCTGGCAAGGCTCTTTTCTTTTGTCAGGGCCTACATGCTGCGGGCCGGTGGATGATTGAATTGGGGAACTGAGGGCAGGAAGGATGCGGGTGTTCTTGGACCAAGGATTACGAGGGCGAATCTCACGCGATCGATTCGACGCCTGGTGGTGCGATGTTTTGTAGAGTCACTTGTTGTTTTGCGCAGGCTGTAATAAATAGAGATGGAGAGCTTGTTGTGGTGTATTCTACATCAGCTTCAACATCAGCATCAATAACAACCACTACATTTACGACTTGGGATACACAAACTACAACAGATCTAAAGTCACTTTACCATCTGCACAACCAACACATTCGAAAGCCGGTTCAAATACTTCGATTTTCAACCAGCCAACCAAACAACAACCTTATTCAAGTTTTTATTCCAAGAACAAAAGAACTCTCAAACAAAATGCCTTCACCAACTCAAGCACGCATCATGTGGCGCACCCTTGCCCGTGGAATGGTCGAGCCACACCCTTTCGCTCGCAACCCCATCACCATGGCCCCTCATGCATGGCGCGCAGGCGATCTCGGCCAAAAACTCGCAAAGACAAGTGCTGTGTAAGTCCTCTCCTGCATCATCCTAGACAATCAAATAATAAGCTTTGTTGCTGACTTTCCTGCTTGTAGTTACTTCCCCTTCTACGCCATCATTCTCGGGTGGCCGGTCGGAGCGGCGTGGTGGTTCAACGGTAGCATGTGACTCTCTTCTAGCAAAGGAAGTGAGGTAGAGAGGAGAGAGAGGAGAAAAGGACTGAGTAGTGAAGAGGTGGAGAGTTTGATCTTGAATATGCGGTGGGATGACTGAGCATTGTTGCATTTGCATAAAGCATTGGGATTAGGGTTTTTGGGCTGGCGTTTAGATTTCGAATTCTAGTTTTAACGTCTTGCTTTGAAGTCCTGCCTAGGGGCACATTAACGGGCAAGGCCTAGGTCTTAAAAGTGCCTGCCTAGTCTTGCCTATTTGTAGTAAATACATTGGTATGTCCAATTTCGCGTCGTCTTCCACAGCTGGTTAACAAAGATTCGCTCTGTCACGTGCCTAGACACGTGATAGGAACTTGTTTCCTCTATTTCTTTCTTTCTATCTATAAGTTCAGTCTTTCTTCTCTTATTCACTTACTTTAGAAGTAAAAATGCCGTAGAGGAAAACTTTAGCTGTTTGAACGAGGAGCTGACAACTACCTCGCAAGTAGACAGTAAGAGAAATAGTAGAGTGGGTCTGCAGAGAAAACTCTACATTTGATGGCTGCTAGATTCGAACTAACCGTCAAAAAGAACGCGTACTCGGTGACTGACCATGTCTTTGACCACTACACCAAGTCACCAAAAAGAGATTTGTTGCTCAAGCACGGAGTCGCTGTTGCGTGTTAGAAGGACGAACTTGGATTCGAACCTGGGATGAACTTACAACCATGGATCTTCGCATGACCTTGAAGGTACAAGTGCGACGCCTTACCACTTGGCCACTCAAGCAGCTTGTTATTGCCGGTGGCGTTTAGATCAGATATTACCAGGCAAAATTGTCCTGCGAATATTCTATTGGATTATGTCAAAGTATTCTGGGGATTTCGCGAATGGTTTGATGTCTATTCTCTGGTCTAAACGGCAGCTTTACCGTCGAAAATATAGTGACCGGATGCTGACTGGCAGTCATGTAGGGTGATGAAGAAGATTACAAGTCGAGGACGATCGTGCCTATACCTCTGCTGACGCAACTCAGCATGCTGTCGTCCTTCTCCAAGCCCTGCAGGGCAGTGCCTCGATGCTCAATACGTCCTGAGCATACATCTACTTTACACGTCCCGCAATTGCCTACTTCGCATGAACTATCAATGTCCATGCCCACAGCTTTTAGCGCGTCCAGCAGAGATTGGGTGGGACCAACTTCTATCACCCTATCGCTCTGCTTGAGTTTTGCCGTGAATGGGTCGCCAGAAGTCTCAGCGGTGAATGCCTCGATATGAATAGAAGACTCAGGGATACTGTACGAGTTTGCTGTTCTGACAACATCATCCATCAAACGAGTCGGCCCACATGTATAGATGTGTGTTCGATCATCGGCTTTACCCAGGATCCCAGAGACATCTAGACGCTGACCCAGCGACTTTCTATAGATTGTCACATCAGAACCTAGTGCTGCAATCCTGGCTGCGAAGGGCACTTCATCAGCGACAGCGTAGTGGAGATGGAACTTCTGCTTGGTTTCCTGAAGGTGCTCGAGTGCTACCATAAAGGCTGTAATACCGATGCCACCAGCGATGATGATGTGGCGGTCTGCATCTTTGGCAAGTGGAAAACTGGCGGTGATGCGTCCGACCGTTAGAACGTCGCCAGTGTTAGTTTGCTCATGCAGGTACTTCGAACCACCGCGGCTATCAGGTTCGAGGGCAACGCCCAGTTCAAAACGTTTGGATGTTCCACCAACGACTGAGTAGGCGCGCACCAATTTTCCACCTAGCTTCAGCCGTACATGACTGCCCGGCTCCACGGGTAGGGCGTTGGAAACACCGTCTGTTGCCTCGAATGTGAACGCTGTAACGGTTTTGGTCTCTTTCCTCTTCTCAACGAGACGATATTCATTCCAGGTGAACGTCTTTTCGTCTTCGCCACCAAACAGTCTGTCACTCTGATCCTCAGTTACGCCCTTATCGAGCCTAGCCTGGAATTGGCTCTTGATGTCCCAACCAAGCTGCGGTATCTGGACAATTTCCTTCATCATCTCCATATTGTCGGTTTCAATAAAGAGATAGTACATGACACGGGCCACTGTCCACTCAGGGTTCGGTCTTTCTAACAGTGAAATCATATCTCCTGCTGAGATACTGCCCGTCTTAATGATGCGATACAACCAGCCTGTGCGCAAAAGAGTCTGAGTGCGCTTCGCCATATTCTTTACCTCGAATCGGTGATTAAGTTTGAAGCATGGTCCTCGTGGCTCGCTGACTTCGACAATAATGTCTCCAATGGCAAGTCGGTCACCGATACAAAGGTTCTTCTCGCTGACTTCTGTGTTGAATAGATTTTCACCGAATGCGCCGGGTCTGAAGTATTGCTCTGATTCTGGTAATTCCTTCTTCCACTCGTCGTAGTGAGATGTGCAATAGTGAAGAAGAGCCTTGTCAGGGCTTACATGCTTATAGAAGGCATGTGCATCCGTGGTAATACCCAATTCAGCGACCTCAACTGGACCGGTTAGAGGGGTTTTGTAGATTGCTGATTCGATTTTGCCATTCCAGAGGGATTTTTTAATCTTTCCAGCGCGTAGCTGGATAACCGGGAAGGGAGCGAAAGGAGGAGGATTTTTGAGTGTGTTAGGATCTGGTGGGGGCGGAGGAATCCAGCTTGAGACTGCCATAGTCAATGGATGGGAAGAAAGGTTTTGGCAGTGTTTACGGATGGATCTGAGGAGAGAAGATAGTGTTCAGAGTTGAAGAAGTCTTAGATGCGTCTTTATGTCAAGTTTCTCTTCTATGAATCCTTCAACTGTACGAGTGGCAGACGCCTGACAAGGCTCCAACGGCCAGACCGAGTCACGTGATTACTGCCTGAACGCCTGGGCTCTTCTGGCCTGGGAAAATCCATTCCTGCAGAACATTTTAGTTGATTTCTTTTTCCTAAATGAGGTTTAGCGTCTTTCATGACTGGAAAGATAAGAATGTAAACGATGAAAGCTGTTGAGAGCTCAGACTTTGAGATTCCTGATATGGCTAGATGTATGTCTTGTCATAGTGCCACTGTGTCCACTTCCAAATAGTAATATTGTTGCCAGCTAGGGGCATACACTCGCAGATTTATCGCGACAAGGAAGTTTTTCCAAGAATTCAAGGAAGCTTGGTTTATTCAAGACTCCAGGCGGTAACCTGCATTGGAAATTGAAGACAAGCTCAGATTCCCATTCTGGGACAGGTGCCTTGGCATATGAAAATCAAGGATCCCTGGATGTCGATGGGTACGCAGTAGTTTGACATAGCCCCACGCGTTGGAGACGCGGGCAGCATGAGCAAGTTCGCCAGTTGTGTGGGTAAGTCACGTGGGCGAGAGTGCCTCGGCCATACCTCGGCGTATCGACGTCATTCCATCGTCGTAGGAGCTTCCTATGCATCTACTCGTCACCTCGTCAAAGCTTCTCCAAACTACGTATGTTTGTGAAATTCGACCCTCCTGGACTTTGCCATCTTACAATTGATATCCGGTAAATTATTCAAGAGCTCCAACTCACAAAGTTTTCTTGAAAACAACGCCTACGAGCACAATCACATCCTCAACATGTTCCGCATTCAACCTACGCGCGCCATCCAACGTGCAGCTTTTGCTCGTTCTCCAGCTCTCGGTTCCCGATTCGTTTCCACGACCCCCGCAAGGTTTGCACAGAAAGACGCTCAAGACAAAGATTCGCTCAAGCCACGATCGACCGAGTACGCCAAGTCTGGCTCCGACGACGGCGCAGCACACACGAGCGCGGCTTTTGATTCTTCAAAGACATCTCCAGAGGAGGCAGAGGTATCGGCTGAGCAAGATGCTGGCGGAAAGCAGAACAGCTTGAACGTCAGCCCGGGCAACAAGGATATCAGTGAACCCAACCGCCCTGACGTTGGAGGACACGGAGGCGCACCTGATAAGAAGAGCAGTGGTGCAGGCAGCGCGCCAAAGAACAGCTCTGGATAAACTTATACGGCCTTTGTCTCAATTAGCCAGTAAATTATCGGGTGCACAGTATGAAATCAGACATAGATGGTACGACTGCATGAGAGGCACAAAGCGGTTCGGCGGTGTTTGGGAGCATGCTGGAGTAATGATCATGATAAGCAGGGTTTCTCATGAGCTTTGAACAGATATATTGTATATATAAAAGCTGATGAATAAAGCAAGTTGATACTAGCTAGCTGAAGGTCTCAATCCAACGTATCTCTTCTCCTTGTACCTTTTGATTAATTCTGCTAAGCTAACGACCGTTGATAACTTTACGCCAACTGAGGATCTGGTCCAATGGAATGCCGCCTAAGGCAGTGTGCTCCTTCTCCTAAGATTGAGGATTTTATATCATCAAAATCTCATCCAATTAGAGCATATCTATGATAGCATGCACGTACTGGTGAAAACAGAAAATGGCGGCCTACAAACCCACTCTACTGTAAAAGTGGCTATAGTCGCCACGGTTCCTTGATATAAACTGTGGTCTTACCACTCACAGCTCTATTATTAAAAGTAGCTGTACTTGTAACAGCTTTTCAGCATTACTGTCTTGATAGCTCGTCATTGTAGGTGAGCTCATTTCAATTCTCCAGCTTTACTGTTTTTAGGGGAGCGTGCACAATAGGCCTCGTTGCATGCTATAATATCACAGCAATGATACAGCTTACCCACCAGCATTCTCTTCGGTACGGGGCCGCTTCTTGTACCGTTTTGGTTTACTTGGCTCGGAGGCATTAGTACGACTCGACTCGGGGAGGTGCTAGGGGAAGGAAGTCACGGGACAGGTTGAAGTTAAGTTTACTGGAGATCATAGGCACAGGATAGATTGCGCTTGGGTCATCTTCGCCGGCAAATAGTAACAACGGCTCCAGACGGCGAATGCCTGTGGTCTCATTATCCAGCGAGGCGGCAAGGCGATGCTGTAAGACGCGGCTGGCGTTAGGTGAGCGACTTCCATGTCTCTTACGCGCCAGTACTGTGTCGAGATGGTTCTTAAGATCTGCCGGCAACTCGCGATTTGTATCCACCTCAATGCGGTAAGCTCGAAGCGTTGCGAGCGTGTCCCAGGCATTCCGCGTCGGCGATCCAGAGCGCGCCGACATGGAGCCACTGATACCACTACTGGTATCCACTGGTTGCTGCGGGCGCTGCGAGGATCTTCCGAGAGATTCGCTGCAAGTATGGACTCTGAGGTTTTCGTGCGTGAGTGGCAGCGTACACCCTTGATCGGTGTTTACACAGGGCGCTGTGGATGGTGTGCAGCGCTTGGTTGGGCGAAAGACGTCGGAGTCAACGTTGTATTCGCTCTCATTAGTTGGGGTAGTGTTGCTTTCAGAGTGCGCGTGCTTTGGCATTTTGACAGCTTGGTGTATTGTGTCGTTTGTGTGTTGCGTTTGTTGTGATGTCTTGAGCTGGATGCTGGCGGCTTCCCTCACTGGTGAAATAGTGGCCTACAAACCACCTTACACAAAAATAAAATCGCTATTCTTAAGGCAGCTTTGTATGCAATAGTTCAATGGCTTTGGGCTGATTGTAACGCCCGTTGTTCGCTCACTCGGCTTATGCCCATTGGTTGGTGATCATGCTGGTGTTACCATAGGTATTTGTCAATTGATGTAGTTATTCTTAACAATTACGAATCTGCCTCTAAAGCAGCTGTAGTCGTCACAGTCATATAGTACGTACTGTGTTGATAGCGCGAGCTTATTTGATTTTCCGGTTTTACTGGCTGTGGGAGTCTCGTCACTGTGGCCGTAGAGATATGACGTCAACGCAAGAAG